AAATGAAGCAAAAAACTTGGATGCTTCCTAATGCTGCCATGCATATGTTTCAGGTAAAAGTAACTCTCTTTTCACTTATGGTTTCTCATTAATGGTGAGATTTAATACTTACACAATAATTTTTAGTTTACTTTGTAAATAGTAGCCAAAGAGATTTTAAAATTTCTCTTTTTTATTAAGCTTAAAATTTATGTTTAAATAGCATTCTTTTTAGCTAGCTCTCATTTGCATATGTAACTTGATAAGGGTAGTGGTCTAGTCTTTGTTCAAACTTCCCTGAAATTTTATGACCCTTTTACAACTTTTGGAAATAACTTTAGAATTTATTTCTTTCAAAATTTTTTCTTTCTCTTCTCATCATATATATAACCTTTATAAATGTTATACTTTCAAATTAGTCTTCAAGCCTTCTTTTTATGTCCTATAAAAATGCATTTTTTGCCTTAACCAGTTTGGCTTAGTGGATAGAATGCCTGCACACTGAAAGGTCCCACGTTTAATTCCAGTCAAGGGCATGTACTTGGGTTGAGGGCACATCCCCAGTAGGAGGTGTGCAGGAGGCAGCTGATCGATGTTTCTTCTCTCCTTGATGTTTCTAACTCTCTATCCTTCTCCCTTTCTCTCTGTAAAAAAAAAAAAAAAAAAAAAAAAAATCAATAAAATATATTTTAAAATGTATTTTACTCTAATATTCTTTCTTTCTATTATTAATATTGTAAATACCTTCAGCTATCTGTATACAACTTTTTCCTCCTTTTCCTTTAAAATGTATATCTTGCCTTCCATTATCAAAACTATACAATACTTAAAATTTAATTCTCCAATGAAAATTAAAAGTAAACAGCCAGCATTTTTTAGATTGACATTTATCAACATAATTTTTGTAATTATTCTAAAAGATATTAATTATAATTAAACCAGTTTTTATATTAAAATTTGGTTCAAATCATAGAATTAATCTTCCTTTTTTAATTAGGCCAATAAAATATTGCATCCTAAGTTGAAATTTTACCATACATAGTACACATGAGGACTATAATATATTTTGAACTTCTACTTCTTCCAGAGAAAATATAAAAATTATTTTTCTCAAAAATGAATTTCTAAACTTTATGAATTCTATATAATTTCTTCTGACTTAATTTTAACTTTAAATTTTTAGAATCCTCAAATTTTAGGTGGCAAGTTAAATACTTAGCATTTCTCAAATTAGTAATGTTTTTACATTTTAAGGATATATTTTATTTTATTTTATTTATTTTTTAAATATATTTTTATTGATTTTTTACAGAGAGGAAGGGAGATAGATAAAGAGTTAGAAACACTGATGAGAGAGTCATCGATCAGCTGTTTCTTGCACACCCCTTATTGGGGATGTGCCCACAACCAAGGTACATGCCCTTGACTGGAATCAAACCTGAGACCCTTCAGTCCACAAGCCACTGAGCCAAACCAATTTCAGCTAAGGATATATTTTAAATAAAATACAAGACATATTTAATTAATAGATTCAAATTTATCCTCTAGATTTTTTATATGAAGTAAACTTAGGTTAGTATTTTAGTATTTTTGTCATTTTAAAATACCTAGATATTTAATAATATTATTATTTAATTCAGCAATATTCTAAAGTTTTAAGTTACCAAAGATTTTGGAAAAATTATGTTTGAGGCTGGTCAAAAAGGCAAGGGGAGAAGAGAGCAGGCCCACTTGAATTTTAAAACTACTATATTCTTCTTAGAGATAAAATTTTAAGGTTGCTGCTGCTACCTGGTTCTCCACTTTTACAGGGAGAAAAGTGACTGGATTTTTATCACTAACATGCTTATAATTATTACTGAGAAGCTTTACCACAAATTCTTCATTTAGTTATATCTATTTATTTATGTTTTAACAACTTTGAGATTTTAAAGCTAATTACTATTCAAGGCATTTTCTTCTGGCAAATTTTGTAACAGAGATAACTTACTGACTTTCAGTGGCTTTAATGATAAAGTATTACTATTTTTATTTTATAAAAATAGGAGTGCTTCCAATATTTGAGAGGCAACTTTGGAATGTGGTACATTATTTTTAAAATTACCGTTATAATGGAAACATTAATCCTGTTGCTCAAATACAGCTTGTATATTTTCTTGTGTCATTTTTGCCATTCTTTTAAAGAAAAAGAAGTTTTGGGTTTATTCTATAGTATCCATGAAGATATTGGGGCTCAAAAGTCACCCAAAAATCAGGTGGTGTGTGCGTATTTTCTTAAGCTTGCTTTTCTCTTTAAGAGTAAAGAAATCTCAGATGCATCCCTAAATTCTGAGAAATGTCTCATTTGTCTAAATTTTAAATGATGGACTTGGAAATAAAAACATGGAAAAAATGAGACTTTTAATAATACTCTCGAGTATAGGTGTCCATTTAAAGGATCACTAAAAGATCTAGTAATATTTTAATTACTTTCCTTTTTCTAAGGAATTTTAAAGAGGTTGAATCTGCATTGATTGAATTGGGAAGTAGAATGCTTATGTTTTTCCCTTGAGTGCCACCTTGTGTCCTTTTTGGTTGCCAACATTCTTTTTTTTTTTTTTTTTTTTTTTAATGCCCTGTTTTTTTCCATGAAGTCTAATTTGCTCATAAGCTTTTTGCATATAATTTAGCTCATTCTGTAAGTCATTGCTTATTATCTGATTTGGGAAATGTGAGTCAGCTACCTATATAATAGGAAAAACAAGTCTCTCCTCCACTGTCATATCCTTTAATCCTTCACTGATAGCTCTTTGCATAGGTGATTGTATTAGTAGTGAATTAAATGTTTCAGGATTAGGACATGGAGATGGAGGGGGCCATTAGGGCCATTCCTCCAATTTTTCTTTCTGCTCTTCTTTAGGAGTGATGGCTGCGGGGGGAAGAGGTTTATTCTCTTTTGCCTCTCTAAAAGGCTCTAGCAAATGCAATACCATGTTCCACAAGGAGAAACGGCAAGCTTTTCCCCTGCTGCTTTGTTTTCAAGTTCTGACATACACTTTCCCAACATTCAACATCTAATGTACCATCTTCAGGAAATCAAGGATTATGTTCTATAATAATATGCAAAAACTGTAAGAGAATACTTTCTGACACTTTAATTCCTTTATCCTTGAGCATACAAACCAAATGTCTACAATAAAGTTTCTTTCTTTTTAACCGAATTCTGCTGCATTAGGCTGGCTAAAAAGACATCCTCACCTTACTTATAGTTTGCGATTTCTGCAGCTAATGTGGGCTTTGCACATGGAGAATTTTCCCCACCTTTTCAGTGATTTCTTCCCTACCTATCTGGTGAACTTCGTTTTTTGCTCCAGCAAATATTCTTCTCCAGATGTCCTTTGTTTGAGGCACCAGCTATGAGAAGCCACATCCTGTGTGGCCAGGGTTCAGATTCTGGAGAAGGGCTGCAAGCAAATGACAAGACTAGACAAAAAATATGAATTTGGAAACAGGGGACCAGGATAGTCTTTCTGAAGAAGACAGGCGTCATTGGTGTCCAGGCCCTGCCAACATTTTATTCAATTTTAGATACACATATCGCTCTTAGTTTTGCAGGCAATTCCATCAGCAGGCAGACTATCTTAAAAGTCAGTGAATATTAGTGAAGATTTACTTTGAGATTATTTGGTCAGGAAATTGCTTGAGCCACCATTGTCTTGACTAATAATCTGTGCATAGCTTTGGGCCTTGCCAGAACTCAAGGTTCACCAGCATCCTGGGTTCCTTGTTTACAATTTCCTGATAGACAATGGGTAGCTTCCAACAGTATTCCACTTAAAAAGAAATTCTTACCTCTTATATCTGCCTTGGAGTTTGTATTATCATTCAAATTCTGAAACATTTGAGTTGTTAAATCTCTTGGTCCACTCGGACGGGTGTTAGCCACATACACTGTATGTGGATGTTACTAGTTCAGCTGTCAGGGCCCGTCTTATTTCCAAGTTCTTGGGTGAGGCACCCGCGGTGTCATTTTTAGTGGCACACTTTTTAAAAAATATATATTTTATTGATTTTTTTACAGAGAGGAAGGGAGAGGGATAGAAAGTCAGAAACATCGATGAGAGAGAAACATCGATCAGCCGCCTCTTGCACACCCCCTACCGGGGATGTGCCCACAACCAAGGTACATGCCCTTAACCAGAATCAAACCGGGGACCCTTGAGTCGGCAGGCTCTATCCACTGAGCCAAACCGGTTTCGGCTAATGGCACACTTTGAACCTGGCCCTTAAGGGGAGGAGTGGGCACTGCTCACTCAAGTCCCCTCACCTGAGAACACGTGTGGGGTTTGTTTGTTTGTTTGTTTGTTTGTTTGTTTGTTTACCAGCCTTCCCTGCTGCCAGAGAGCTGACCGCCCCTGCCCTGGCCCAGTTGGTCTTGTCAGACTAGAGAGGTTCCAGCTCCTTTGGAAGCAGGGCTGTCTCCCTGTGTTCCAGCTCCTCGCCCTCAGCCCAGAGCCCAGAGGGTGATAGGAAATGGGACGGTGCTCCTTTAAGGCAGGTCTCCAGGGCGGGAGCCTGGGTGCCTGTTGTGGACACAGCCCTGAGCTGCAGGAGCTGCGGTCCAGGCGCGGTGAGCAGGAGAGGGCAGGGCTGTTGTTCAGCTTAGCAACCGCCTGCGCGTCCTGCAGGCCCAGGAGGCATCTCAGCCGCCAGAGGCCCCACCCGCACCCTCAGCCGCGCCCCTGGGCGCTGGGGCTCAGGGTCCGGGACAGAGAGGGGCAGAGGGGCCGCCGCCCCGCAGCCTCAGCGCCGCGAGCATCGGGGCGTCGGAAAGGGGGTCCCAGGGCTTCGGGGCTGGGCGCCCAGAGACGCTCCTCTGCGTGGGGAGCGCACCAGCGGCCCAGGGGGACCCCGGCAGACGGGAACCCCGATCCCCGCCCGCCGGGCCGCCTCCTCCGGCCCCTTGGAGCAGGGGGGTGGCTGGAGCCCCGCAGCCCGGCTCCCGGGTCCCGAGGCTCCGGCTGCAGCGCCACGTCTGCGCCATGAAGGGCGCCGTGGGGGACCTGGGCTCTCTCCTCCCCAGAATCTTCAAGACCCCGACGGCGGCCCCGGCGGCCCGCGCCCCGGGCCTGAGCTCCAGCCGATCGGGGGGCGCCGCGGGCGCGGGGCCGGCGGGCTCAGCGCTGAGGGCGTCGCCCTCCCCGTCCCTGCCCCCCGCCTGGGCGCCCGCCGCGCCCCGGCCGCAGCTCCCCGCCTCCTGCCCCGGGGGCTCCCTGCCCAGGAGCCCCAGAGCGAGCCCAGTCCCGTCCCCGCGCCAGCACCTGCCCCCGGACCTGTCCCTGGATCTGCCCCGGGACCTGCCCCCGGACCTGTCCCTGGATCTGTCCCGGGACCTGCCCCCGGACCCGCCCCCGGACCGGCCCCCGGACCTGTCCCTGGATCTGCCCCGGGACCTGCCCCCGGATCTGTCCCTGGATCTGTCCCGGGACCTGCCCCCGGACCTGCCCCAGGACCTGCCCCCGGACCGGCCCCCGGACTCGCCCCCAGACCTGCCCCCGGCCCCATGCAGCGGTGGCTGCAGAGCCCAGAGCTCCCCGGAGCCCCTGGGGGCGAGGGGGCCCCTGGGGACGAGGGCGCTGTTGACTCCGGTCCCAGGCGGGGTCTGGGCGGCGCTGCCCTCCATCCGGGGCGCAGCGGGCAGCAGCCGCTCAGCCTGGAGCCCACGGAACCCCCGCCAGCTTGGCCCGCGGACCCTCTTCTTCACGCTGCCGGGCATCGGCGAGGAGGGGGCCTCGGACAGCGACTCGGAGGAGGCCGGACACGCGTGAGTGGCAGCCGGGTCCGGGCCGGGTCTCCCTGAGACCCTCCCCTCTTCTGCAGCAGCCACCCTGCTGGGCGAGCTCAGCACCCTGAGCTGTTTGCAAGGACTTCCACCAGCTCCCCGGGGCAGCCTCCGTGCCCATCTCCCGGGTCCTTCTTTGTGCCTTTCTGTTCTTTTTAAACCGCTAGTCAGGCTCCCGCTCAGCTCTCTCCAGTAACCCTCTGCTGTCCACCAGAGCGCGGAGTGGAGGGAAGGGGGCTTGGAGGGGAGGGGGCGGAGCTGGTGTCACTGACTCAGCCTTGGGGGCTGGCTGACCGCCTGGTTGTCTCCAGGACTCTGAGGGTATCCAGGTCCCTCCTCTAATGCAGAGCCTGGCAGGCGTGCAGGCAGCTACCATGTGAAGAAATGGTGCCCCCTACTTTTCAAGGATCAGCCCCAATTCTTATCCCAAGTGGGATGGGTTTTCTCCAAGCAACAGTCCGTTAATGTACATATGTATGACGTCATCTGACACCAGGGCTCTTGCAATGCCCAGGACACCTGTGATGTCTACCTTAGAGCTCTGGGGCTTTGCAAAGTGCCCTCAGGTTCCCAGAAACGCTGACAACCAATTAGCTGGGAACTGGAGGACATTTCACACACACACACACACACACACACACACACACACACACACACACACAGGCACACACACACTCACACACTCTCACACACACACACAGGCACACACACACACAGAAGCACACACATTCTTTCATCACTATGAGCAGGAATGAAAACACTCTTCTTATAAAGCCTGCATTTTAGAATTAAGGTGAATTTATTTTTTTAAATGAAGTTAAGTGGGTGCAAAAGTATTCAGCTCTCTGAATCCTGCAAGTGAATAGTGAAATGGTTAAAAACAGACCACCAGGGCCCATTCCTGAATGGAGATTTCTGCCTTATGATCTGGCGAAGGGAGAAGAGTCAGACCTGTCAGCAAAGAACCCCCCCCCCCGCCCTAACCCCCACCATCCCTGACTCCTCCCACACACATCCACCCCCACCTCCACCAAAAATAAATTACCCGGAGAACTTTTGCATTAAGACTGATTCTAACCCATTCACAATTTAAATGATTACATTTTTATGAAACTGCATGACATTCACCTCAGTTCTAAAACAAACAGTGAAATAACTTTTTTTTCTTTTCATTTACAATATTGCAGTATGAAATGCACAAATCGACTGATATTATTTTATTTTATTTTTCTTAAAGAAAATCAATTGCATTTGGATAAGTGGCTAGGATACTTACGGGTGAGGAATTAGACCTTTGTTATCGGCTACTGGTCCTTAACATTTATGCAATTAAAGTTTTATGAGCAAACAGATCTACACACTGATCTTGAACTGGAGTCTTAGTGCTTTTTACGAAGAGGGCCTGAAACACATCAGTGTGACCAGTGAGAGAACTGGGGTCAGTGTCTATAGCTGGGCATTTCAGTCCATATTTCTATTATCTACACACTTTTAATAGATACTTTTAAATACCACTGTATTTGGCATTACGGATAGGGCAATTGGGGGAGATATCAAGGCCAATGGGTAAGGACAGTTAGGGGCAACCGGGCCTGCAGGGGAGGGAAGTTGGGGGTGACCAGGCTGGCAGGGGATGGCAGTTGGTGGCAAGCATCTCTTCCTGCTGAAAAAGGCTCCCCCACATTTAAGCAACCCTATCCTATATAATCTATCTGTACTAATAAAAGGGTAACTTGTTAATTAGACCATCTTTCAGACGTCTGACTTCCTTCTGGACAAAGCCATGGTGATGGGGGTTGATGCATAGGCAGTTAGGGGTGATCGGGTGGCAGAGGAGGGCATTTGGGGGCAACCAGGCTGGATGGGGAGGGCTGTTGGGGGAAACCAGGGCGGCAGAGGAGGGCAGTTGGGGGCATTAGTCAGGCAGGCAGGTGAATGGTTAGGAACGAGTGGTCCTGGATTGCCAGAGGGAGTCACAGATTGGAGAGGGTATAGGCTGGGCTGAGGGGACAACCTCCTCCATGCACGATTTTTGTGCACTGGGCCTCTAGAATGTTATAAAGAAGCTGATAGTTTCAAGAAAAAGGCCTACCTGAGTCAGATTTTTGTTTTAATTACTAAATTTGACATGTTTGTAATCACATTTCATTGCTGATATGTGTATTATTGTACAAATCTAAGCTTCTTTAGCATTTAAAATAAGAGCTGGCTTTTCCATATCTACTAGGTACCAGATGCTCCATACATCTGTAGACATTATCATGAATACCCCAGACATACAAGGTAGGGATGTTATTTCATTCTACAGATGAAGAAGTTGAGGATCAGAAAGGAAAACAATTGGTCTAATTTCTCATGGCTAATCTGTGGGAAATGTAAGAACCAAATGCAGGCAGTATATTATCCACAATATGTGTAACCAAGTAGTTTGTTTTTTAACAAATTGTTTAAGATGGTAATGAAAAGTAAAATCTACTTCTAAGGTAGTTGGTGGTATTTTTCCTGTAGCAGACCTACTCTAAAAAATTGTACTCTTGCCAGTTAAAATACATTTAAAAAATAAAAATTCTGATTAACCTAAAACTAACTTCCTCAGAACAATAGTCCTATTAATACTGATAAAACCAAATTTAAAGCTTAATTTTATCCACTTGAAGTATAGATAACAAGTGAATTTTAGCATAAAAAGCATGACTTATTTAAAATAAAGCATTAGTTTAGCCAACTCTAGTTTATTATTTAATAGCAAATCAAATATTTTATTCATTTTAGTAAGGCTGTAATGAGCAAACTTGTCTTACTAGAAAAAAAAAATGAAGCATAAGGAATTAGCTATGGCCCTTGAGAGGAAAGAATATACCTGCTCATTAGAATTTCACTTCAAGTTGTCTTTAGAAGATGCCTTATGATTAAATATTTACAACAGTAATCCTTGCCAGGCCCTTATATTATGTTCATCCAATGAGTATATTTATTTCACATAACATTTAACAATTTGTATCGCTCTTGCATATTGCTTTCTAACATGAATGAAGTGATTTTGATGATCTAAAACAATCTAACAAGATATTGATTTTAAAGATACATTAAAGTGACAATTTCTAAATTAACCATTAACTTGAATTTCTTACAATGAGACTTCAAAAAGTTATGTAATAGCAAATATGTGTCACTTTCTTGTCTTTTGTTATGAAACCACCTTTTATGCAAAGCAGAGACAGTAGCTGACCTTGCTCAATGTAAGTCCTATTTTTAGAATTTGTTGCCTGAACTAGCTAAATTATGAGACACTTTGAGCTGAGCATCTCGTGTGTGTGCCTGTACTCCCATTCCAAATACACTCTTAATCCACATACGGTTCCTGTTGGAAACCTGTTTTTGTCTCAGACTGACCAGGAAACAGGATGCAACCCTAATTTTAGCAGAAAGCACTAGTTAGTTATTCTTGCATTAAAGCATTGGGGGGGGGTATATTTTATTTAAAAATTTCTTGGGAGATCAATGATGACTTATATCACACATTGTAAAGTATTTCACTACAAAACTTTCCTTATTTTTATTTCCAGCAATGACACCAACCACCACCTGAGTGTTAACTAGAAAAGAAGACAATGAACAGAACACCCCCCCTGCCACACACACACACACACACACACACACACACACACACACACACACACAGTTAGGATGAGATGGAAATAGACCAGACTAAGAGACACCTAACCCCAGATTGAAATCGTCTTAATTTTTATTGGATTAGAGTGGTTTGGATGCCTAGAGCTCCCAGCCCAGTTTGCTGTAGAGCAAGTTTAATCTCTTCTGAATGTAAGCTGTAAGCAGCAACTTTATATTGGTTGTCAATGACACAGTTTAAACGTAAGAATACAGAAAGGTTGAATATAAATGTATGGATGAAGTGAAAATTCTACTGTAAAAGAAGCTAGTGTAGCTTTTATAATATCAGGCCTGGCAGACGTTAACCCATAAAATGAAAATGACACCTTATACTGATCAATCAGTTATTACAAGGTCTTTGTTTTCTGCTTTACTAATTAAAAGAATAAATGAAATCAAATATTTAAAAAAAACAAACAAACATTTTTTGGGGGAAAATTTGACTATTTTCATGTTGCAGTTTAGGAAATTGAACTCTTCATAGAATAGAATTAGGGGCTGTTTTGACTTTGAAAGCCTGATAAATTATTTATAAAAGTATTTATAAAACAAAATTTGTACACGGGGGTGGGGGAGGGGGATTCTTCAGCCCAGCCTGCACCCTCTTACAATCCAGGACCCCTTAGGGGGTGTCCGACTGCCAGTTTAGGTCCAATCCTAGGGCACCAACAGGATCGGGCCTTACCTGGTAGTCCGACATCCCTCTCGCAATCCGGGACTGCTGGCTCCTAACTGCTCACCTGCCTGCCTGCCTGATCACCCCTAACCACTCACTGGCCTGCCTGATTGCCCCTAATCACCTCTGCCTTGGTCCCCGGCACTGGGACTTGGTCCAGAAGGACCTCTGGAAGGTCGTTCGTTCGAATGTCCGGTCTAAATTAGCATATTAAACTTTCATTATTTTAGATATATATTCTTTCTTTCACTTTCTACTGATAAATGTATCATAAAGTAAATGCTTAAAAGTGAGAAAAAATATTGGATGTTAACAAATGTTATTGAACCCGTTAATTTAAGGTATAAGATGGTAACACAAAGTTTCTGTCTTCTGGTTCTAAATAGTATACTACTGGCAACTTCCTATGATCTCACCTAATAATTATTGTCCCGGATATTTTTCAGCACTCATTTTGAAGTTGTTAGGTTTCTAAATAAGCGATACAGGTGTTTTGTTTTGAATAATATACTAATTCTTTGTCCTTCTACAATTTTATAGAAGCTGTAGACCTCATTGATTCTTAGGACTCTTAAATATTTACTCTTCATATTAAAAATCTAATAATTTTTCCTTCTGCTATCTCTTTTTA